AACACCATTAATTGGATTTATTACGATAAATGATAAATAAAACAATAAACAGCAAAAACAGAAGAGAATGTTTGTATTATTTTGGTGTTTCTGTATCAGTTTGTAGTTGGGGAATGCGGTTAAATGCGCATGAAAAATATCCACCGGTAAACAGAAAAACAGGCTGATTTGTGAGAGTTTCAGCACAAAGTGAAGAAACAAAATGTGTGAAGTTTGTGCAGGTGTGAGCGGCCTGAGTCAACAAAGTTGTATATTTTTTGAAGTGCATCTTGTACCTGTGGTGTTTTCCGTCTTTCAGATGGTTTCATTCTGGGAACGATGTTGTAGTTTGTGGTCTGTAATGAGACGAGACGTTTTCTGGTGGTTTTTCTTCTTCTCGCTCTTATAGGAAACTGATCTAGGGAGTGGATGTGCAGTGAGAGTAAGATATTTATCACTGAAAGCCTCTCAGCTGAACCCATTTCTTTATTTTCTTACTCCTTGTTTTCATTTTTTTCAGAATTTATTTATTCATTTTATTTTTAACTGAACCCTAGTATTTTTTTACTTTTCATTTTTATGTTATTCATTTATTTTCTAAACAAACAGCCATTTCTTCATTTTTTATTTAAAATATATTTTTTGTTTTAAATTAAACCCTACTTCTTTATTTTTCAGTTGTTATAGTTGTTTCTATTATTTTGCTCTTTCTTATTTTATATTTAATTATATTTTGTGAATCCTCCTCTTGAAAAGCGTTGTGTTTAGTCAGAGTTCGTTGAGTTCTGCAGGTTTCTAAGCCGTCCAGTCCAGAGTTTCACTCTGTGAGGGAAACAGCAGCAGGAGGCGTTCAGCCAGCTTGTTATGTCAGAGGATTACAACAGCCAGGAGATTATTTAACTGTTACTGGGAGGAAGAGGAGGAGGTGGAGGAGGAGGAAAAGGTGACATCATTTCAGTCTCAATAACTGAAATATAAGAAAAATATTTTTAACCTAAGAAATGTCTCCCCTTCAAATGTATCCCTTCATGTTTGTCAATTTTCAATAATAAATAACTGAATAAATGTTTAAAGTGCAAGAAATGAACTGAATAATAAAATAAAGTCACATTTTAATAATATTACCAAAAAAAGCCGATGTTGCCTAAAAACGTGCAGAAGAGCTGATCGTTTTCAGGATTTATCCACATCCACATCAGTCTGTTGTCATTCAGGAATTAGTCGCCTCCGCTCGTATAAATGGGAACAAAATGTTGTCATCCAGGAATTATTCATGGCTTTGCTTCATATGTTCTTGTTTCTTAAGCCTCTTTATTAATTAATCCAGTTTGCTTGTGGTGCGTTCAAGTGCACCAGGATTTACTGACTTCCATCTTTACTCTGATGTTTTCAGCAGCTCTTGGTTTGCAGTCGTGAGAAAAGATTCGGAAACTGAAGGCAGATTTGCAGCAGGAGGCTGTTTTTGTTGTTGTTGCAGGGAAACCTCGACTCGTTTCAGATCCTCGGCGCCGTCTGCACAGCCGTCTTTGATCTGAACCTTATTATTTCTTTAGAGCTCAGTTTGAGATAATTTATCCAACAGGGAATCGCTTCACCCGAGCTTCAGCGTTTCTGGAGTGAGCAGCGGTGGCTGTCGTGAAGTTCTTCCTGCTCATTAGGCTCCACTTAGCGCCGCTGTCCTGTTAATTACACTTTCTGGAACAGCATCCGAGTGCAGTGTCCACAGGGAGCAAATTTTAAAGTTCAAGTGTTGGATGCAGAATAAATCGTCTGCTTCAAGCTGCTGCACTGCAACAATATCAGTTTACCGGCTTATCAGCCTGCAGGCCATCGGATAAAGAAGGAATCTACAAAGGGTCATGAATACAATGATAAAATGGCAACAAAATGCTGCTTTCAAAAGATTTAAGAGGAAAACAAGCAGCAGATTTTTATGTATAAATTAATTAGTCATCTGCACACAGGTGGATACAGAAATAGTGGTTCAGTTTGAATGCATATGTGAACACCAAGCGGACCAGAGACCGCTCCAAAAGCAGGAAGTGAACTACAGTGCAGGGCATTCTGGGTAAATACAACCAAAACAAATGTGTTAGCTTAGCTTATGTCTTGTAGTCTTTAGACAAAGACAAAAGAGAAATCCTCCAACCGCTAAAATCTGATACCTGCATTTCTGTTTCCATTTGGAAGAAAGTTTTACTCAGTGTTTCCTTCAGTGGTTCTTGGTACAGCGCCCCCACAGGCCAGGAGGGGAAAAGGTTGGTTTGACTCAGAGCAGAGAAAGAACCACAGCAGCTGGAGGTGGAACAGATGATAAAACTTTGGTTCCAATTGAACCGAGTCTAACGGACAGTCAGGTGGGAAAACATCCTAAAAGGAGAAAAACACTAAAATTTGCCATCAATCGTCCCAAAATGTGACGTCAAACCATCTTTTCCTGCAATGATCAGAGAAACTGTCAACACCTGCAGAGCACAGGTGGAACTGATGTAAACCGAAGCTTTAAAAGTGAGAACCAAGATCTGGAAATGTCCAAAAAAAAAAAGCTTGAATAAAAGTTTCCAGATCTGTTGGTGAAATTATACGATCACTTTGGCAATATTTTGTAAGTGAGAGTGAAAATGACCATTTAAAGAAAACAAAAGTCAAATTTTACCAAAATGTTCCTATGAAAGACTCGACCGTCACGATAAATAAACTCTCAGAAGTTGTTGCTATAATCCATAATGTTGTTGTTTTGAGACCATTTTCAGGAGTATGATGAAAATGGCATAACATTCTCACAGATCAAGAACTTTAAATTCTAATGAACATTTAATACTGAGACTGGAGGAAATATCCAAAATAAACACAAAACAACAGAAACCTTAAATAAAATGAATTATGAAATCTCAGCTGAACTAAAGTCTTTCAGAAAAAGCAACTTGTTGAGAAAAAAGGACGAGACCAAAGACTTTAGTTTGGTAGAAAGAGAAAAACGGTAAATCATGCAAATGGAAACTATGAAGCTTCTAATTTATCATGCGATTTATTGATTATTGCGACAGGCAGACGGACGTTAGAGGAGAATTTTCATAGCTGAGTTTCAAGCTGTTTTGGAGCAGAAACTTTATGAAGATGCTGATAATTTTTTACACTGTAAGCTCTTATGTTTAATATTGTGGTATGAAACCATCATGGATGCCGTTTTGCTGCCTCATTTTAAACATTCAGTCACAACAAAAAGTTTACACCAAACACTTTGATCGACTTTATTTCAATCCAATCGCTGTTTCCTAATCCTGTGAAACAGCAAGATCTCCTGAGTTGATGCTGGAGGAGCGCAGATTCTCCCACTCAGCAATCGATTCTCTGTCTGATGAACAAGCTGCTGCCTCGTCTGCTGGCCGCACCATGTGTGCTGCCATATGTCCGCCGTTGGACGATCCTGGCTGAAACTGGCTTCAGCGCGGGAAGAAATGGATTAAAAGGATGTTTGGGTCGACGATGCATCGCATTCAGACAGAGATCTGACCCCCAGCTCAGGATAACCTCTACAAAACGTTACATTTTTTTCCCACAAAATCACCCTTAGAAAATGAGACTTTATTCTGATCAGTTCTGCCTATTTTGAGCTGTTTTAGGGCCTCTGTCACTTTAAATCCAAATATGCTGCTGCTGGCCACGCCCCCAAACTCAATGTTTACACTCACTGAGCAATTATTCAACTGTGCATCTTTGAAAAGCAGAAGTGGAGTCTCCTTCACATCCAATAAGAATGCAGCAACCGGTTTCAATTTATTTGAAATGTCTTTAATCAACAACGGCACGTTAAACACAGTTTCATGCTAAAAACAGAGCAGCTGTGGCTGTGGACACAGACTAACCAGTCCTTGGTTGGACCTGTAATAAAAGACACTGACGTTAAGATTACACCAATGCCTACGCTGAATTTCTGCAACTATAAACAATAAAAACATGAAAATATGTATTAGAGAAAGCAGATTTGTGATGTTACATTTCGAAGGTTTTTGAATTGGCTCGTTTTCCAGGCACCAAAAAGCATGAACTTGTCTCCAAAAAACAGCTTGATGTTTTTTTTAAGAGCGTCGACTGTTTGTAGAAGCAGTTGGGACTCAAATGGAAAAACAAAACGTGAATTTTGCATCTTAGGTCCTCTTTAATCTGCAGATAAAACTCAGAAAATGTCTTTTTTTTTCTCCTGGCTGCAGTCTAGCTCCGCCTCAGATCTCCTTTCAGTGCAACTGCAGCAGCAGCCTGGGAAAACTCGATGGAAGAGCGATCTGAGCGGAGGGATGTTGAAAACGGGAGCAGGTCCAGCAACCCAAAGTGATTCAGTCACGCAGCAGCTCTGCGTGCGCCGCTGTTTGACGAGAGTTTCGCTGCAGATTCAGGAGGAAAACATAAAAGTTTTCGGTTCGGTTGATGGACGGCGCTCTGACGGCTGACGAGTCTTTAAAACGAGTTTCCCTTCAGATTGACTCGTGTAAAATCTCACCAAAGAGGAATCAGATTTTTTCAATCAAAACTCTCAGCTGCATCATGCAGAAATGTTCTCAGCCTGAATTATGTACAAAAATACAAAGAAACCCTGGAAAGGAATTAATTCATTATTCTAATGTTTCACTGTAGTTTAGTTTAGAAAGAAATCCACTACAAATAATATGAGCTGATAATGAATAATATAAACACTGAGAAATGATACCACAGTGGCATCATTGTATTAACAAAAAAGTGACAGTAAGGATTATTTAATATTCCTTTCAAAAACAGCTGGATGTCTGTGTCACATCAATTAAAGCCCCAGAAACACAAATACTGTTAAAAAACTTTTCCACTTGTAATACGCTTCTTTATAACACCAATATGACGTAGTAATCACATTTCCAAATTTATTACTATTTATTGATGCTTCTGTGGAATAAACAACATTATTGTTTACTGCAATAACTTGCAGGACAATTTATCATTCAGTAAATCTTTTTATTGTGACATTTATTTATATTTATTGTGTTTAATTTTATCTGCATTTAATCATATTTTCAAAGTTATTTATCGGTGTAGAAAATAACAAACAATCCTGACAATACGGACAGTTTCCCGATTTTTTAAACAGCATTAACTGGATTTTATTATAACAATAAATCAAAATTATCATAGTAAGATATTTATCACGATAAATAATATCCGATAAATGCCCGGCCCTACCCCTTCTTATTTCAGCTGCAGTAAAATCTGAAAAAATAATGTTTTTGTTTTTCTAAATGCGACCGAACCCAAGGTTATCCTCAGACCCCCACCTTCCTCTCATCAGTTAGACTCCTCTTCCTCGTCGGATGTTTTGTTATCAGCCGGAACAGAGAAAGCGACGCGGCCTTCGAGGCTCGGCGGCGCCGTCCGAGGGGGAGGCTGCTGGATGCTGCAGCCCAATCAGAGGTCTGCAGCTGTACGTATAAATATCTGCTGCTCCCACATCGACTCTAATTTTAGGCGGAGGCTTTGTTTAACATCTGCTTTGATGTTGAAATGCTGAATTCAGGCGGGATTAACGTTTGGAGAGCTAATTACAGCAGAGAGGAGGCTGCAGCGTCTGAGGCTTCGCCTGCGTGTATGGGGTTCTCATAAATCTGTTAATATTCTTAAAGTTGGTCTCAGAGTATCTTCCTGCCACATCTCATCCTCTCAGTGTGATCCCAGATCTCATCCAGATAGCGAGCTGGCTTTGTGCTCTGCAATGATTTCTGGATGGATGAATTTATCACCTGGAGCTGCAAAGTTGTGAAAAGGTTAGAAACTCCCACAGTTTAGCACCCAGGAGCCAGGAGGACGGCTAGCTGGGCACCAAAAACCCGACCAGCCGCACTTCACAGAACCGCTCCACATGTAATTGTAGACGACGTTTTATCTTTTTAGAGGCAGCATGTTGATCCTCAGATCCAAACTGAATTTATTAGATCTTTAAAGCAAACATACACGTTCAGTCTGATCCCGGAACGTAAAGTCAGGCTAAAAAGGAGCGTTTGATACGTCAGATGAACCGTTTCTTTGTTGTCTGTGGATGAAAACTTTCCTGTTTGTTGTGTTAATGTTGCGCTGTTACATAACGTCCCTCTGCTTAATATAGCATCTGAGAGGCGAGCTGTCACTCTGAGAGTATAAATACACTCAGTCAGGTTGGCTTTGAGCTCTGACAGCGCTGACACTTTATCAAACCCGTTTGGGTCCTTTATCAGAGAATCAAGGCCTTAAAAGAATGTTTACAGCTTTTCCAGAATAATTATTCTCCCTGTTCTCATATAAAAATACCTCAAAACACGTTGAAATAGTTGGAAATGATGTGAAATGACTACATATAATTTACACAAAATGAATTAGAAACAGTGCCAAAGTTTATCACAAAGTATTAAATGATAGATACAAAAAAAATATTACGAGAATACACTCGTATGAGAATAAAGTTATAATATTATGAGAATAAAGTGATAAAATTGTAAAACTAGTTATGAGGATGAAGTCAAAATATTACAAAAATAAAGTCATAATAATATGAATTTGTTATTTTATTTTTTATTTTTTTTAGCATGGCCCTAATAATCTGTTGCAGAATTTAAACCCGGGATGTGCTCGGCGAAATTTTTTCTTTCCTTTTATGGTTTTCATACAATCATAGCTGAAATTTGATCTTATTTAAAGATTTTTACCATGAAATTAACTTGAAATGAGATTATGTCAAACTTTACTAATTTAAACACCAAAGTGTTGTATTTCTTCCACTCCTGTCTGATTAAAGGAGGAGTGATGCTGTGGGCTTCTCCATTGATTCTTTGGTACTTTCTGTTTATTTAAAAAAGAGAAATAATCAATAAGCTCCACAGTACTCAATGTTTCAAATAGGAAATGGTTTTAATGTGGACTGTGTTGGATCAACTGTTGGAAGCTTCTTTAGGTTTTTTGTTCCTGCCTGTTTCTTTTCTGCAGCTCAGATTGAGATCATCCCCTGTAAGATCTGTGGAGATAAATCCTCAGGGATCCACTACGGCGTCATTACCTGCGAGGGCTGCAAGGTAAGATCCGTTTGATCCTGAACCTTTTGCTCTAACTCTTCCTCGATTTCCAGACATAAATACATAAACATATAATTCCTTTAGCGAGTTAAAGATCTTCCTCCTTCCAACAAAAAAAGATGCTCTAATTATCATGAAAGCTCTAAAGATAATAATCCTTCGATGCGTTCCCACCAGCCCTGTTCAGTTTGCTTTAATCCAACTCCAGTACATTTCCATAGAAAGTCCGGTTCGGATCAAAAAATCAAACCTCGGTCTGGGTTCAGCTGAAGTGAACTCTGATTCAGTTTGAATGAATATGTGAACGCCAAGCAGACTAAAGACCGCTCCAAAAGCAGGAAGTGGACTAAAGTGCAGGGCATTCTGGGCAAATACAACCAAAACAAACATTTTAGCCTAGCATTAAATGGTTCCTGTATTTTACCAAAGACAAAAGAGAAATCTTCCAGCCGCTAAAATCTGATGCTACTTCCTTTTTATTTCATGTAGAAGGAATGGGGCTCACTATTTACATTTCTATTGGCCAGATAATTTCACAAATTGGAATTACAAAAATGAATTTGCTTAATGGATACAGGCTAATTTTGAAAATATGTTTTTCGATAAAACGTTTTTGATGAGGTGTTTTTTTCCGACTATCAAAATTAGTGTGTTTCACTAAAATGCAACAGAAACTTTTTCCACATCACATGAGTCACATGATCAACAACCGAATGTTACCACTGACAGAAACAACAAATAAGAGGAAGAAGACAGGAAGTGGTAGGAGGATGATGATTTTTAATGACATATCACGTAAACAAACTTATTTACGTGGGAATAAGTTACTGTTTTTTCAACGTTACTGGAATACCAACAAATTTTGCGCTTGTAATAGGAATGCAAATAGCGTCTTCTACAGAGGTTTTTCATGTGAATGTGCCTTCAATGATCTAGCAACAGGTTGCACCTTCTCGTCACTGACTACACATGCAAAAAATAAAATAAAAGAATCAATCAGTATGCAACTTAGATGTAAAATATTGCTTCTAGTGTGCGCCCCTCTTCCACTGCGGCCCTGGGAAACCCCCCTTGAGTCCAGCTAGTTGCTCCTGCTTCGGCTTTGTTTACAGTTTCTGTGAGGATTGGGTCTGAATTGTTAGCAGCTACAGGCGTTTCCATGTGGCTCATCAGTCACAAGGCTTCAGTCGCTCTGACAGCTGGAGGCTCATCTAACAATCAGCCACTTTATGGAGGTTTCAGCCATTTTATGGAGCCATGAAGGCTGCGAAACAAGCAAACCCAAACACAAGACATATTATCCAGCTTGAATAATGATCTACTAAGATTGATGTCCTGATTACTTAGTCATTTGGTTATATTTGGAGATTTTTTACTGATATTTTTTTACTTTTAGGTTGTAATTTCATAATGGATGATACAATCCTCTCATTTGATGGAAACTGTTTGATTCCGCAGATCTTTTCTTATCTTGAAGGTGATATATTATATTTCCTTGAACAGGTTAAGATCGATTATGGTCTATATAAAACAGGTTCACATTTTTAGCACAAAATCATCCTTAGATATGAGATTTTAATTTATTTTGATTTCCTTTCAGAATGAGCTGTTTTAGGGTATCTGTCACTTTAAATCCAAATAAACTGCTGTTGGCCACGCCCCCTACAACTCAACATCAACACTCACACATACATATTTGAAAAGCAGAAGTAGAGCCTCCTGCATAACCAACAATAAAGAAGCAAGTAGTTTCTAGATGGTAAACCAACAACAAAACAACAAAACACTAAAACCAGCTGATCAAACATGCTGGAGAACCACCTGGGTTGCTAGGTAACAGGGCTGGGCTTCACTGGGGTTGCTAGGTAACGGGGAATGAGGCTCAACAATCGGGAGGTTTTTGATATGGTACGATTTCCAGACACCAAAAATTATTAACTTATTGTCAAAATAAATTGGATGGTTTTTTTAAGTGCTTGGATTGTTGTTGGACACAGTAGAGTCCCAAATGGAAGAATAAAAACATCCAAAAAGTGTATTTTAAAAAATCGGTCCCCTTTGAAACTTTGGTTCTGGTTCTGAAGAAGGACCTGGTAAGCATTGTCTCTGCAGGATAACTTGAGTGTTTTGCCTCTGGTCTCAGGGTTTCTTCAGGCGGAGTCAGCAGAGCAACGCCTCGTACTCGTGTCCGCGGCAGAAAAACTGTCAGATCGACCGAACGAGCCGGAACCGGTGTCAGCACTGTCGCCTGCAGAAATGCCTGGCTGCCGGCATGTCCAGAGACGGTGAGACACACACACACACTGAAAACACTAACAGACCCACCTAAACACCAACTGACCCACCAAACACCAACCGACCCACCAAACACCAACCAACCCACCTAAACACCAACCAACCCACCTAACACCAACTGACCCACCAAACACCAACTGACCCACCAAACACTAACCGACCCACCTAAACACCAACCAACCCACCTAACACCAACCGACCCACCAAACACCAACCGACCCACCTAACACCAACCGACCCACTTAAACACCAACCGACCCACCTAAACACCAACCGACCCACCTAAACACCAACCGACCCACCAAACTCACCCTCACCTGCCTAAACACACAGCAAGGGGGAAGTAAATAACCACACCAGGAATCGCCCATCTTTCTTGGTCTGTAGATCCGTGGGCAGCTGGTCCACCAGGAGGCGCATAAGGGCCTTAAAGCTTTCAGTTCTGCCACTACATGAGTTAAACAGATGTTTTCTCGTCCCGCTCTCTGGCAGCCGTGAAGTTCGGCCGCATGTCGAAGAAGCAGCGGGACAGTTTGTACGCCGAGGTCCAGAAGCACCGGCTCCAGCAGCAGCAGCAGGCACCCAGCCGGTCCTCCCCCAGCGTCAGCAGCCCCAGCCTGGACGAGGCTGAGTCGCCGTCTCCCCCGTACACGCTGTGCTCCGCGGGCCTCACGGACCCAGCAGACGACCCGGCCTGCTACATGGACCGGACCTCACCAGACGGAGGATCTCTGACCTCCAAGGTCTGCAGCCGTAACTCCTACATCTGATCTGAATAGCAACCATTTCTGCATCAGTTATGTTGCTGTAAACAGGCGGAGTCGGGAGCAGGAGACGCAGGATGTGGAGGTTTCTACCTGGACATCCAGCCGTCTCCGGACCAGTCCGGACTCGACATCAACAGAGTCAAACCGGAGCCACTGCACGACTACAGACACGGCGACGGCAATGGCTTCTTCCCTTACTGCTCCTTCAGCAACGGAGATGCTTCTCCAACCCTGACCTTGGCCGAACACGGTGAGTCCACCGAACACGGTGAGTCCACCGAACACGGTGAGTCCACCGTACACGGTGAGTCCACCATGCATCGCCTCAGAGAAACTAAACGGTTGTTACGTCCTGAGAATCTTTGACCAGAACCAAAGAGGATCAGGATAAAACGAGACGCTGCACAGAAGCAGCAGACATGAGCTTTCTGTTTAGGTTGGCCGGGTTCTGCAGGAGTTTCAGGTTGGAGCCACTGATCCAAACTGGAGCAGAACCAGAACATCCAGAACATGAGTCCATTCTGGGAGAACACCTGGAGACGGTTGTTAGGGAAACCATTGGGTCTCCCTCATGGAACCGTTACAGAACCTGCACAAGCTTGGTTAAACAAAAGAAGATGGATGTAAAACGTTTTTCTGCAGCTGTAGGGAATCAAACATGGAGTGAATCTGCTTCAGCAGCAGCAGATGAAGAAGAATGAGGAAGGATTGAGAAACCACAGAGGAAGAAAGCAGTTGGAGATGCTGACTGCGGGCCGTTCGGCACAAAATGGCTGCAGGTCGGAGGCTCATTAAAACCTCAGTGTGGTAATTAGTTATCGACTCGTTTGGGGAAATCAGCTTTATTTTATTTTCCCTGGAGATTTTCTGAACGATAAACTCCAAAACTCACCAAACAGGAAGTGCATCATCATCTGACTGAAGCTTGGACTCTTTCTCTGTTTTATTCTATTAACTAAAAACAACAAATGACTGCTGGTTCAGCTTTATTCTCATCTAATTAACTGCATAAACATAAGTTTTCCCTCTAATTTCCATTCATGAATATTTATTTGGTAAAAAGGCTAAAATAATGCTGACAGGACAAACGGAGGTTTATTATAAATGATGTCATATTTCTATTTTTCAGGCAGATTTTCAATATTTTTTCTTTGGACTTTTGTTGCATTTTTACTCAGTTTCTAATTTATTTCTGAATTTCAGCTCATCAGATCGAGATAAATGATTTTAGAAATTTGGGATTTTTCCACCAAACTTAGTGCACCAACAAAACAACTGGAAGATGATAAATGTGTTGTTTAGACCTGAAACGATTAATCAGATTAATGTTGATTAATCGATATTTGAAATAATCGTCAACTAATTTAGTAATTGATTAGTCATTAACTGGAGAATACAGACTCTAAAACATGGCAATAAAAGTGAACTCTGGTGCGGTTTGAATGCAAATGTGAACACCAAGCAGACTGGAAACAATTTCAAAAGCAGGAAGTGGACTAGAGCAGGGAATTCTGGGTAAATACAACCAAAACAAATGTGCTAGCTTAGCGCTAGTGGGAAAAATAGCAGAAGAGAAATCCTGCAGCCGTTAAAATCTGATGCCTCCATTTTTATTTACATTTGGTGAAGAAGGAAGTTGTGCTCAGTGTCTTCAGAGGTTTTTTTGTGTCGTTTCCTTCAGTGGTTCATTGTGCAGCGCCCCCACAGGCCAGGAGGGGAACAGGTTGGTCCGACTCAGAGCAGAGAGAAAGAACCGCAGCAGCTGGAGAAGGAACAACACTTTGCAGTTTTGGTTCCTAATGAATCTGAGTTTTGGAAGTATTTTGTCTACTTTCTAGTGCAGATATCTTAGTACACTAACAAAACTAACTTACAAATAATTTTCAGCAAGGTGTAGAAGATTGTTTTAAGTTAATAATTCCTTCACATTGATGAAAAATACTAGTTCCACTGGCAAATTATTTCACTTGTAAAATGGGAAAATTGTCTTAAGTGAAATAATCTCAGTTACTTATAAGTTAATTTCATCTTATTTGAAGGGTACTAATATATTTTGCACCAGAAACTAGACAAAAAACTTTTTTTTTTAAAGATTTTGTACTTTTGCAGTGTGATTTCCTAAAATGTCTTTACTGAGTTGTTTTTGATGTGCGGAGCCTTTAGTTTTGTCTGAAAACAGTCCTGACTGAAAACGAGTGAAAAAGAGCTCAGAGAAACTGAATCTGTCGACTTTTAGCTCTGAATAATTCTGAACTTTGTTTTTGTTTTGCTTCAGATCACTTGGCCCAAATCATCTGCAAGTCTCACCTGGAGACGTGTCAGTACCTGAGGGAGGAGCTGCAGGAAATGAGCTGGCAGAGTTTCCTGCAGGAAGAGGTGGAGAAGTATCAGAACAAGGTCTGTTCGCTCCATCCAAACCCAACGAAATGTAGCTTCTTGATAATGGTCTGACTTCCATTGTATGGAGCTCTGCTAGTGCCAAAATATCTTTTGATGGTTTTAATTTTTTACAGTAAAAATGTTTTTTTACACTTGATTGGAGTCAAGTGTAATATTTTCTAGTGTTTTATTATAATTGGATCAAAAGCAAGCAATTTTAGACATGCAGAAATAAATGTATTAAAGGTTAGTAAGTAAAAACACAGGACACATCTGGTTTTTGTAGATGATGAAGAGGTTTTTCTTTTTACTTCTATAAATTTGCTAATGTTTCCTGCAGCTGCATCAATCTCTGTGCAGGTAATGTGGATCTATGGTTTCCAAAAGTTTTCAGCCTTATTTACGGTATTCCTGAAAGGTTTAAATACTGCATAATGTAAAGAAATTATCAAGGTCTTGCATTGTTTCCACTTCAACTTTCAGCCTAAATTGAAGGACAAAATTCAAATTACTTCTTGTCCTCTCCTCATTTTCTCTGAAACTAAAGCAGATTCTGTGATAATCCACTTCTGATGTAGTGTCCCAACTGTTTTGATACCAAGATTATTTAATGGTATGAAATAGGATTGGGGTCACTGGAACAAAAAAAAAAAAAAAATCAGAATTGGATTTGTGTTGGTTATTGTGAACACATAAAACCATGTGGGTCTTGTGAGGCTAGTCTTAAATCTGTTTCCCATTTTCAGCCCCTTTTGCTTCGTCTCTTTCTGAAACATCTTCCTGTTGTTCCCCGCTCAGCCACAGGAGGCGATGTGGCAGCTTTGTGCAGTGAAGATCACAGACGCCGTCCAGTACGTGGTGGAGTTCGCCAAGCGCATCGACGGCTTCATGGATCTCTGCCAGAACGACCAGATTGTGCTGCTGAAAGCCGGTGAGCAAACCTTTAATCGATTACTGAATTAGCTCCAGATTATTTCAATAATTGATTACAATTTATCCAATTAATCGTTTCAGCCTAAGTTGAGTTTGGAAAACTTAAAAAAAAAATCAGCCTCACTTTCTACTCTCAGAAGCTCTTAAGCAATAAAGCTATGAAAGCAAATTTTAAAAATTGTTGACTTTCCTTCTAACATGTGAATCATGTTTCTTTCTCTGCATGTGAATCAGTTAGACTGAGGTTTTATAAATCTGGTCCCTCTTGTTGGGCTGAAGTCTTTATTTTTTCCTGGCAGGATCTTTAGAGGTCATCTTCGTACGAATGTGTCGGGTTTTTGACTCTCAGAACAACACCGTCTACTTCGATGGGAAATTTGCAAGTCCTGACGTTTTTAAATCATTAGGTGAGTAGCTCATATTTATTTTAAAAAATGTAAAAAATATCCTTATTTTAAATGTTTTTCTAAAATATCTGTGTGATTTTGCTCCATATGTTCCCTCAGTTGTAGCTCTGGGTTGAAAATTGCAGATTTAGATGTTTGTGCATTTATCGTATTGTTTATCATTTATTGTGATAAATTTCTTATCGTAATAATTCAGATTTATCATTGTCACGCTGTTTAAAACCTCCCTAAACTCTCTGTATTGTTGGATTGTTAGTTTTTACAGTTTTTACAGTTTTTTTAATAAATATTAATTTGAAAATATGATTAAATGGATGTGCAGTTTAATGATACAAATCACACTTATTTTTGTGATTAAAGAAGCATATTATAAATGGGTATGGTGCAAAAATGCTAAATCTTACAAAATATTTTTGGTCTAGTTGTATCCTTTTTCTTGCTGAAAAGTTACTTGTAATGTAGTTTTGTTCAAATGAACTAAGATATTTGCACTGGAAACTAGACAGAAATACTTGGTAAGATTTTGTGTTTTTGCAGTGAATGTTTCTCAGTAAATAGTTCTCATCATCACTTTCATCGTTATCACAATACCACAAAACATTGTGTTGAAACTTTAAGTCATTAAGCCAAAGTTAAATTTGAAATCAATCTTTTTACAGTGAATGCCCTTTTGCATTTTTCCGTCAGGCTGCGATGATTTGATCTCGTCAGTGTTTGACTTTGGTCAGAGCATGTGTTCGCTGCAGCTGACCGAGGAAGAGATCGCCCTCTTCTCCGCGTTCGTTCTGCTCTGTGCAGGTACATCCTCCCTCCACTCACTCCAACCGTTCTGTTTTTAAGTGCTTATCTGTGTGTGTGTGTGTGTGCGCGCGCGCTCGTTGCAGACCGGTCGTGGCTGCGGGAGAAGCTGCAGGTGGAGAAGCTGCAGCGGAAAACCGAGTCGGCCCTGCAGCACGTCCTGCAGAAGAACCACAGAGACGATGGAGTTCTGGAGAAGGTATGACGGAGAGCTAAACGTGCCAACAATCAGGTTTTAAATCATTGCATTTAAAGAAATCTCTTTCTGCATTTAAAAGAAATTGGAAAATCATTATTATGAAGCGATATGTCGTTAAATAAGCTGATATCTTCTGTGTTTTTTTTAGATATGTCTTAACGGTTTTCTGAGTTGAGGAAGATATTTTAGGTTTATGCTTCTTCCTGCTCCTTTTCATTCATAATTTTTGCCAGTTGAACTGTTCATATTTATTATTGAGTGAATGAAATAAAAAAATAAAATGAAAATATTTCAAAGAGAAAAATCCAGCATGCTAAATGAAACTGAGGTTATGCTGCCTCCTAGTGGAAAATATCGGAAGTGTAACCAATTTAAGTTTTATTATTAATCATTATTATTATTTATGTGTTAGTTTTTTTAGAATAAACATAGCTGCAAACTCTATGAGAATAAAATGGAATTAAAATCAAAATATTGTGACTTTATTCCCATAATATTATCACTTCAGTCTGAAGCAGAGTTGGGGAGAAACTGGTTTCATTTACTCAATTACATTTACCTGAGTCACTTTAAAAAAAAACTTTTAGGAGTATTTTATTGCACTTTACTTTTTACTCCTATTTGAGTAAGATTTCTGGATTTTCTGCCCATGAATGAAAAACAAACATGTTTTAACCAGAAATCCACCAGACTCAGACACACACCTGATCTGTGTTTTATTGAAGTTTCATCAGTTTTTTATTGATAGAAACTGATTTGGAAACATTTCTTTTGCCTGATTTTGTCTTTTTTTTTTTTTTACTTACATGAATTATTATCTTGTTGGTCTTTTAAATGCCAAAATTTCCATTTAGCTTTATATTTTGGTCCTTCTGATGATGCAATATTTAAACATTAAGTGATTGATAATTTGATCAGTGGACTCTTTCTGCGTTTCCTGCTCAGCTGCGGTGCAAGGCGTTGGCGCTGCGCGCTCTCTGCGGCCTCCACTCGGAGAAGCTCGCGGCGTTCAGAACCGTCTACCCGGACGCGGTCCGAACGCTCTTCCCTCCGCTCTACAAGGAGCTGTTTGCTGCCGACCTGGACGGGACTCTGCACTGAGCGCCAGAACCGGTCCGGTCCCAGCAGGACTAATCCGCGCGCTGAGGAATCTGATTTTATGGTTGCACTACTGCACTGATCCGGGAGCAGCAGCACCCTGGAGGTTCTGGTGCTGGAAACATGTGGACTAGTGCAGGACTGCTGACTGAGCAATACACGTCCGAGCTACTAATTCAATCCTGAAACTTGAGGCTTTTATACAGAAAAACCAGTTTCTTGTACAGATTGTTAAGCGGTTTTAGTTTCTTTCTCACTCCGTATCGAAGTTCAGCTGGAGGAGCTTCATTTTCTCCAGCTGAGATTTCTCTTTTTTGAGTTTCAAATCACTTTGGTGCAAATCCAGGCAAAAATAAATCCCAGAAACGACATTAAGCTCATTTGTTTACCTGACGGATATCTTATAAAACTGAACCTGGCTTCATGTTCGGCTTTGAGATTCAGTTTCCTCGACTCAAAAACTAACAGCAATATTTAGCCAAGAGAGAAAACTGGGTTAGTTTTTCAAAGTTATATTTTCTCCATTTTATTCAATAATTTCTAAATGTCACAGTTTGCCTTGAACTAAATATTTACTTCAGAGATATAGTTAGTTTGCTAACTAAAAATTTAAACGTTAGCTACTTAAAAAGTCAAGCGACAGTTGGCTAACTATCTAGCTAGCAAGCTAAATAGAGCTAAATATTTAGTTGGCAAGCTAAGTAGCTAACTAGAGAGTTAGCTCAGAACTAGCTAAATATTTACCATCATATTTAGCTCAAAAGCACTTAAATATTTTGTTAGGAAGCTAGCTAGAGCTAGCACAATGATATGTTTACAATTATTAATCCCACAAAATATACCCCATAAAATATCTAAAATTAAATATTAGATAGATCTGAGCTAAATATTTAAACTCAGAACTAGCTGAATGTTTAAATCAGAGCTACGTACATATTTAGCTACCAAGCTAAATATTTAGTTTGAAGTTAAAATTTAACTTGCAAATAAAAACTTAGCCTAATTAAATATTTAGTTTGAAACTGTGACATTACATAGAAATATATAAATGAGTGGAAAACATGATAATTCACTGTTAGCAGCTGAAAATGTCCAAAACAGCTTTCCGTAGATCAGCAGCCATGTTGTTCAAAGACGCAGCTGCAAGAGTGCAGAACAAATTTTCCCTCCACTTTATCTAAAAATGTTTTTACATGTTCAAACTGACATTCAAAATGTTTAGCAGTTAAATAAAGATGTTTTGTGCCATAGTTGCAAATCTTTTAATGTAAAACAGCAAATTTACCTGAAAAACTAGGAATTTACTAAAGTTTTTTATGTCTTTGATAATTTGGCATTATGCATTTTCATACAAAACTCCTCTGAAAAAGTGTTGAGATATTTCCAAGTGAGGTTAAAGTTCACACAGCCTTTCAGTTATGATGCAAAAGCTGCAGTGATTATAAAGCAATAAACATCAAATCCAACCCAGATTGTTTTCAGGTAAAAATGCTTAAAAGATCAAAGTTGCATCAAAATATTGTCCAGTTATAAATAATCTTCATGGTAAGGAATAAATGTGTACTTTTATAGATTTGTAATAGTTTTTCATCCATCCCAGCTGTTCCAACACAGAGCAGATCCAGGGTTTTATTTTGGTAATTTAATAAACTGCATTTCTGACTAAACATTTATCCAAATATTGATGTCCAAACTAATCCAGGTTCAAGGTTAAATCCTCAGAAATGCTCAGATTTTAGTCAAAATAAACTCAAGCAAATGTTTTCTTCCATTTTCCACAACTATTCAGGGGAATAAATTATGATGTGTTTTATTTCAGTAATTAGAGTTTATTTCTGTTCATTTTGATGATTCTGACAATTGATTAAAATTTTTAAATATTACGTCTAACTCAGTTTTCAAGGATTTCTCTGTTAATGTAACTACAAATTATTAGCAGAAAATTATTTTTCCCTAATTGCTTGTGGACTAAAAGTAAACTTTTTTTTTTTTTTTTAGAAATCTTGAAATCAAGCAGATTTTTTAAATATTTACTGCCAGTCTGCAGATAGCAGCAGCAAAGCTGCAGCACCCCCTGCTGGAACTGAAGTGCAACATCAATTTTTCCTCCTCATTTTTTCATTTTTAGTTTAATTTGTAAATCATTCTTTCATTTAGTTTTCTGTTGAAGCAAAAACATGCAACATCTCTCCACTCAGGTCAATAGTTTTACTAGCAATATATGAAAAATAAGCAATAAGCTGTAAGATTTTTTTTATATAATCAATAACATCACCTGACTCAATAAATTCTGAATATTTCAGATTTTTTGGATGCATAAACTATTCAAACCTAAATTAGAATGAAAGTCCAGATTCTTCTTCGTTGGTAGTTAAGGAACGTCTCAAACAGGATTTTAAATTCATACTACTGAATATAAAAAAGTATATTTAAATTAATTTGCACTTTCTCTAAACCTACATGCATACAACCACAGCACGAGTCACTTTGTTTCCATTATAATATTCATTTGTATGTTAGAGAGGTTCTTTAAACGTGTAAAGATCCAAAACTCCCAGAATTCCACCAAACTTTTAGAAAATGATTTAATTTCAGTAAAACCACTGATTTGATTTTCCTTTAAGGATTAGACGCACTCTGGGTTAGAAAATTTAAGAAAGTGAGTTTTTGGTGTAAATTTATGTCTTTTTTTTTTCTATCTATAATCTCGACTGTTGTGCATTTTTTTAAGTAAAAGTGGCCCAAAGTCTGTTTTCATCGCTGATCATAATGGATTTACAAACTGGATGTTTTTCTTTCCATATGGCAAATGGATCTAAAATTATCTATGAATCCCTTTCTTGCAAAAAAACCCAAAATAAAATAAAATACTTTATGCATTAAACTATTTTAAAAAATCACAATATAACTTTCAAAGAGGTATTATTTAATAGGTTATATCAATATTTGTTAAATATATTTTTTTAAAGTTATATTGTTATATTTATAAACTCAAACCAAGTTTTCAACGTTTGAAACTCAAAAATTTCCACTTCTTTTTCTAGAAAATTCAAAAATGTTTCTAGAAAGCGTTTAGCTTTTCAAACTCAGAAATTTTGAGGTTTTTGGCGAAAATTAACTTTTTATTTTTCTGTCTACAATGGCCCAAATTCGCCACTGTAAATAATTGCAATAAATGCAACTTGATGGAATAACAGATTCCCAAAATAAGTTTGACACATCTAACTGCTTGCTAGCATAACTAGCTAATCGGCTAACTGACGGATTTATCTGGACGAGGTGAAAACGAGTCGCTGAAACTCAAACTGAGCTTCAGAACCAGGAAGGGCAGAAAATAACGTGACTTTAAACGCAGCACGATTGTTGATATATGATGAGGATAGGAAACTGGAAGGCAACATAAAGATGGCAGACATTTGGCCTAACCAACATGAAAACAAATATTTATGCTGCCTTACAGCAAAGCTGGCAGCGGCAGTATGGTGCTGCGGGGATATTTTCTTGGCACACCTTTAGCATCAGCTGGTATTTAAATCCCTTTCTATGTGAGAAATCCAAACCTCCAGAGCTCAAATCATCTCAAACTGGATTCTTGAACATGGTTTAACTGTGATCAAACTTTACCTATTAAAGTGGCAAATAACCGCTTTTCCATTGAAAATGAAACATTTAAAATAATCTAAAAGAGGGAAAAACATCTTTTCTACACACAGACGAGGATTTGCTGCTAAAATGGACCCTTTGAACAGCAGCAGAGCTGCTAAAACGAAACATTAGCTTCTGTCCTGTACAAGACAAAACACAAACTCAGACATGTGGGTTTTATTTGCTGCTTTTTGTTTATTGTTGTGTTTAATTATAATTCAATTTCGACCCAGTTAGTTTATGAAACATGATTTAAAATGCCTTAAACAAACAGCTAACTGATGTAACTTTGCATAATCTCAGATAAAAAACAGAGCCAGGTTAAAGTTTAGGATGTTGGGTATAATATTTACAGTTTGATGTTCTAAAAATAAAACTAATTAATTAGATAAGGTCCCGTTTGGAGCTCTGATAAGATTATATTGATCAGTAATTGCCGGGCCGCCTGCCACATTTCCCTCCTTTTTCCGTCCGACTCTGGCCAACAGAATAAATATAAAATTGCCTCGCAAATAATTCCTGACACTTGGAATACACAACCCAACAAATGATGCATTCCAAATAGTTCATTATGATATTAATATTGCTCAAAGCGACAATATCTCCCTGACAAAATGCGCCTCCTAAATGCTGAGTGGATTTTTTCTGCTTGTTTTATTTGTTAATGGAGCCGACTGCACCCACAGGGGCGACATTTCTTAAAATGCACTTACATTTACTTTGATTGACTTTTGCTTTTAACGGCTGAGAGCTTACAGCAGAAATCATAATCAGTTTTTCTTCTTTATTGGATCTGTGAGGCTACTTAATTAAAGTTATCAAGATTTTCTCAGTAAGAAATTTTGGAGAAATGCAGCAAAGTTCTGCACTTTGGCCAAAGGTGTCCAAAAGATGTTATTCTACTTTTCCAACAATAAACTAAACATTGCAATACTTTAATTAAAATATACAGTAGTCAGATTTGTTGTTAGAAAGGCCTAAATTAAATTATTCTAGATGAAAAATTTAAAAAGAGTTTTGTGAGTTTGGCTCATTAAAAGTAATTTTGCAGTTTAATCAGTCACATCAGGGGTTTTGGTCTTTTTTAAAATGCTTGCTGTGATCAGCCAACTTTATTAAATTGATTAAAAGTCACTGATCCCTGCAAGAAAATGGAAAACTTAATTATTCAAAGAAATAAATTGTGACGTTTCCAATATTTTCTACTGTAGGAAGATTTTCCTTTGTGATAATTTTGTCCTGATTAAAAATATAAAGTCTCCATTTACTGGGGGTCCAGTTTGTATTATTCTGTAACTGAAGCCGGGGGGCCGCACATGTTCAGCCCTGGGCCACAAATGGCCCCCGAACCACACCTTGGACACTCTGGTCCAGACAAAGGACCGTCTGTGGTAGCATTTTATCTTTCTGATCATTCGGATTGGGTTTTACTGCCAGATGTGAATGTTTGTGTTAAAACTTTCCCGTATGCAGAATTCATTTTATTAAATGCAAATTAAAGTATCAGATTTTCCTAAAACAGAACAAAACAAATGTTTCAAGTTTACGTCGTTGTTTGATTTGATCATGCTAAACATATTTATGGTACAGACATGAGTCAGAGAGTTTTCCATTCAGGTACTTAATGGCTGCAGATTGTTCCATTTCCTCAAACTTTTCACTTTTTATTTTTACCAATTAATCTGGTCATTTTAGTTTGATAGTTTGGAAATGAAAAGTCAACCGTGTTTCAAATGTTTTTCTTAAAAATAATGAAATTTAACCATGACTGAATGTGAAACATCTGAATTTGCCACTTTTTGTTTTCTGTGAACAAACTCAGACATTTTATCTGCTCATTTTTACTAATCATAATTTATTTTATGTTGTTTATAATGACAGTTTTTGTAGTTTACTGAAACTGCAAACTCATCTTTTGTTATCAGGGTATTAATTTAACTACATCACATTGTATGTTTTATTACTATCAAAAGCAATAAAGGAACAAACAACTGATTTCTGTTTACATGGGTTTATTTGTCCTTTAGCATAAATATAAGCTTCGTTCACTGTGATCTGCACAAAAAATAAGTTTTTATTTGCCATGTTTTAGCAGGTCTGTTGTGAATCAAACTGTATTTTAAAAAATAGTCACAGAGTTTCTGCATCAATGTTGTTCCTCCTGTCACTCCTCCCTGTAGTTCCCGTTCCGGCCAGTAGATGGCACTGCAGTTGAGCAGTGCTCACTGAAACGTGCAGCAGAGGAGGAGTTTGGGTAAAATCTGCAGAGCACACGCTGCTTGGCTGGTTTTTGTTTATCAGGATTATGTTTTTTTTGTCCCCTGTTGATAAAATGACTGGAAGGAGAATCAAGATGCTTGTTTTGATTTAATATTTAAAGCTCCAGCTCGGAGTTCTGCTTCAGAAAACAGAGAAAAGCTGAGAGAAAAAACGGTTTGGTTTTCCTGAACGTAGTTTTACGTAGTTTTAAACGCAAAAAAAAAAAGCTAAAAAAGCTAAAAAGCTTCGTTCAGGAACAAAAGCAACAAACAATAAAATAAAACAATAAATAAAACATTCTGGTAAGGTAGGTAATTTCAACAAGCAGCTTTAAGTGATGTCATGTGGTTGCTATGGAAACAGCTAGCAAACTGAAATATTCAACCCCCACCATCCATCCATCCATTCAACCATCCATCCGACCATTCATTCATTCATTCACCAGCAACCTACAAAAAATGTCAAAAGTTATATTGTGATTTTCTTCTATAGTTTAATCCACTAAGTAGTTGATTTATTTATTTTTTTTTTTGTAATATTTATAAATCATGCAGATCCATTTGTCTGATCAATAGATTGGCATCCAGTTTGCAGAATCTGTTACAGTTGATTGGGGGGAAAATTAATAAATTGAGTTTATTTTCAGCACTGAAAACAGGTTTTGTTTCATTTTACTTTACGGAAGGGCAGCTGTATTTTACAACGTCCACTGAAGATGGAAAAAAGACGAGTACATTTCTGCCAGAAAATCTGAAATTTTGAAATCGATCTCAAATATTTTCAACATAAAAACACAAAGATTTTGGAGTTTAAAAAGTCTAAAATTTTCTAGAAAAAAATCGAATTTTCAGATTAATCTCAGAAATATTTCAGAAAAAAAAGAAAATGTGTGATTTTGTGAAGTCAAAAATTTGCTAGAAAAAAACTCAAATTTCTAGGTTAATTTTCTGGAAAAAGTGGAAATGACAGATTTTTCTAGAAAATTTGAGACCATTGAAGCTTAGAAATGTACAAATTTTTTTCAATAATTTTTTTAGATTAATCTAAAAATTTCTTGAGATTAAAATAAAACAGATTTTTGTAGCAAATTTTTGCCTCTACAAACTCAGAAATTTCCTTTAGTTTCTAAAAAAAATTCTGACAATAATCTCAAAACTTTAAACTATGGAAAGAAAACTTTTCTAGAAAAAAAGAACATTTTTGAATTGTTTAAAAGTTTAAAATAAAAAACCTGATTAATAGAGATATTTGAGAAAACAATGTGGAAATTTCTGTTGAAAACATTTTGAACTCAGAAACTGTCTTGTTTTTTCAAAACAAATTTCAGACGTTTTGTCAGAAATCCCCCTTACTGTTTTTCTTCCTCTCTTTAATACGCTGTTGTAGTTTTCAGCCGGTTAGATAAATTATGTAAAAGCAGATTTTGGTGGAAATGGCTCCCATGAATCCTCTTTAGTACATAACAAGCCCCTCGCTGGCAGTTCTGCCTTGTTTCTGTTGCATTTTTCAAAAGGTTCTGTTGTTAGGGTTCCAGCCATATTTAAACAAAAACCTGCAGCCCAAACTGGGAGCGCTCCTGTGTGGAAAAGAGAACCAGGAAGACGATGTCTAACCCAAAAGACGAGCTCTTCAAGCTGCTGCTCCTCCCCAATGAGGAGGACGAGCCGGGCGGCGATGGCGCCGCCTCGCTGAGGAGCAACACGTGCCTGCAGGCCGCCGTACAGGAGACCGGCTTCAAACTGCCAACCAAACTCCGGCGCCCGGTCGAACTGGGCCCGGTGCTCGTCAACAACTGGGTCACAAGCAGACCGAGCTCGTCCAGGAACCTGAAAACGGCTTCTGGCCGTACAAGAGGCGAGTAAGTAAGTACCTACAGGAGCGCGGGGCCGCTGTGGGAAGGATGTGACCTAATCAAAGCCGTCTGGTTTCCAGAAGCTGCCAGGCGATGGACGACGGCGGCGACATCTACCCGACCGGCCGCATGTCCAGGAGCTTCATCCTGAGGAAATCCATCCGGCAAACCTTCAAGCTCTGATGCCTCAGGAAATAAAACTGCTTGGATCCAAACATTTCAGGCTGGTTGTGTTGAAACGTAGCAGAGAAGCTTAACCGATGTGAGGCTCGGGGGCCACTGGAGGCGCCTGGGGGGATTTTCTATGGTCGTGAATGAAGCAAATTTAAATCTTCAGTTTTATTCAATCAAACCCTACAATGATTTCCACATTCCTACAAAAACTGTTTTATTTGTTTAGTTTAAATATTTCATGGTTAGTTTATTGTTGGGCATGAATATAAAATTCTAAATAAACTTTTTGATGTAGCATAAACCTTCAGAACAAAGCGAAAGTATTCCTACCAGAGTTCAAGCTGTGATTTCTGCGTGAAAGCATGAGATGCAGAGCCGGTGCCGCTGGTCCGGTTCTGATGTGTGTTCGCTCTCTGCCAGCTCGGATCCATCTCGTTAAACAGTCACACCTCCCAGAAGGCCGCGCTCTGCCCGCTCGCCGTTTGCCCGATAATTAGAGCCGCAGGCCCAGATGAAGCGGACTTTGTTTTTTTACAGCCTGGCTGTGAATATAAAGGTTCTGCTGGTGTCCCACTGCGCTGATCTGAACGGACTTAACAGAACCTGTCAGCTCCAGACACAACAGGAAGCAATTCAGCGATCAACAGGAACTTTCCTGCATCTGCTTGTTTAGACACATTCCTGCAGGAATTTACACTTTCTTTGCCCGATTTTCCCACTGAACCAAACCTCTTACAACAGGAATTAAGATTAGTTACC